ACATTTTGATTTTATTGTGGGCAGGAAATGAGCTGAACCAAGCCGAACATCGATTGTTGTTAACTTTTGTTAACCGACTGGCGACTGGCAGTGGGCAGAAGTCGCCCCGTGTGGGAAGTCCGCGTGTGCTTCATTATATAATGAATTGGGGAGATGGGCTGCCTGCCAGTGCCAGTCCCTCCATATCACAATCACAATGAAAAAAAAAACCCAACCTAGAACCTAGTTCAAAGTTTTTTAGCTTACAATTTATTGCTAAAGATGTGTTTTCGCCGAAAAGTACAGATATATTTCTAAGAAACTTTGCCACAATCATGGATAGCCTCTGAATAATGGAAATTCCGGGAAAGTCCCAAAAGTTTGGTAATATTTTTGCAGTATTTTAAGGTTATTAGAAGTTAGTTGTTTGGGATGTTGTTGGATTGCCAGCACAATTAGGCAGACATCTTCATACAAACATTCAAACATAAACACTGTGAGGCAAGAAATATTCTCAGCCATAAATTGGTCAGTGAAGCGGAGCTGCCTTTGCCTATATAAGTAGCTAAGCCGGGGAGCGGATCGGCGGAAGAAAGGCCCATAAGTTTCCTATGCCACGCTCCAGTGAATGGGCGTTGCATTGGGCGTGGCCCAAGCGGCGCTAGAAGAAGTAGATGCCACCGTCGCGACGGTCGACGGGGAAGGTCGCAGAGATTTCATCGTGGATAGCAAAGAATTTTGATTAACTTGGAAAATCATTGGAGTAAGTCCGACAGGGTAGAAGGGCGAGGGATTGAGGCATGAGGCAAGACACACAATGTACGCATTATTTGTTTGCATTGCAACCAATAATTGCTTAACTAAATGTGAGTCCTGAAAGGCCAAAAGCGCCTCGTTAAGGTCTCAGTCTCCCGAGAAGCCAAAGATCCAAAGAGCCTCAGAGTCGGGCTTTTAAATAATCACAATGAAAGCAAGACAGGCCACTACCAGGCTACACACAACAAACAAAAAACAGCACAATACAATGAAATAAAAGAAAAACAAAACGATACGAAACGAAACGTACCGAAACTAAACAAAAAAAAAAAACGCTCACAAATTGTCATTTCTTAACCTTTTCAGATTGCGAAGGCGGCGCAGAAGCAGAGGATTCAACGGGCTACCGCCTGGAGGAGGTTGCAAGTTGCGAATGGCGAGTTGCGAGTTGCGAGCTGCGGCCAAGTCGCCGCCAGAAGTTTGCCGACTCACAATGTGTGTGCCGCGCGCGGCTTTAAGAAATGCCGAATTCCAGAAGCTGCAGTACAATCAGTTGAATTAAAAAACGAGCGCAGCACAGACAGAGGACTCATGGCTGGGATCTTCGGGGGATAACCAAGTACATACATGTGCAGGGGGATAAGAGGAGTATATATCTCAGTATCCCTGGTTCTTGGGTAGTCATCGAAGGAGGAGGAGGAGGTGGTTCTGCGATATCATCGCGTATAGAGAGAAGAAGCGCGCGCGCGCAGCTGCTGCGGCTAGGAAATTAAGAGGACATTGTGGCGGCATGCGGTTAGAACTTGCAGCGGCGGCTTAAACACAAAATCCGCAAGAGGCATATACTGACTCTGTGGCACAAAGATTCCTTGCGTTGCTGCGTTGTTGGTGGCTTTTGGACAGCTGGACGCTGGCTGACAGAGGTCGCCCTCGTACGTAATCGACGAGCATTGCAAATGCTTGAGCTTGGAGCTCTTGTGTTGTTGGCTTTGTCCTCCGCCTGGTGCTGCGCACGTGGCCATGTTGGTGACGCGCCTGCCACAGCCACAACCACAACAGAAGGAGCAACAGGAGCAGGCAGCAGGCAGCAGCAACAGCAAAACAGCAAATCATTGAAATGTCGTTAGAGGCTCGAGCGGCACGCAGCATCGATAGTCAGCAGAACCGCAAAATGCTTTTAATTTCTCAAACTGATATGCACCCCCGTGGCCCCTTTTACTGTCAGAAAAGCAAAGGATTGGGGCCAGAGGTACAAAATTAGCTTTAGCAGATTGCAGGGAAAATAAACCTAGTTTTCTTTAATTTATTCAAGCAACTATTCAATCTTTTCAACAGCCTGGAAGGAAATTAATCAAACCATATATGGGATGCGGCATTACACAAAAAAATAATCAAGTTTAGAATTGAATTTCTTAGAGAAACTATTAAATGCGATCCAAGCAGAGAACTGTTATGTAAAATCACTAAAAAAATCACTTGAATTATTAAATAAATAGAAATAATCATAAAAGCCAACAAACTTGCAGCTATTTTGTTTTATTTCGACTGTTATGAAGTGGGCGGCTTGGATGATGATGATGCGCAGGTGAGTGAGACCATAGAAGGTAAGCCTATGTAGCCAAGACACCCGCGCAGACCCGAGATACCACATAATGCGAGTTGGCCAACAACAAGCGGCAACAACCCACTGCAAGTTGGCAATTAACCTTGGCTGGACAAAGAGTTGGCGGCGGCGGTAGAACGACCTACAGCAGCAGCGGGCCAGGTTATGAATTTTATCAGTCAGTCAGTCAGCTGGCAGTCGCCAACCAGTAGAAGTACACAGCGAGAAAATAGTCCAAGAGTTGGAAGAATAATAAACATTTTTGGGTGACTTTGTTTTGCTTGGTGTACCGCCACAACTGATGACCTGAACCGGCGTTGGTGTCACACCCACTACATTTTGGCTTTCATTCATCGCCCCAGCTGAATGGAGCCACCGAAAGAGAGGGTCTCGGAACCAAAGATCCGATGGAGACGGTAGATCGTGGTGGCACACGTCATCGGGGCAGCCAAGAGGCAATGCCTACGCCAAAAAGATTCGTGGCATTGAAAAGTACGAGCCACAAAACGCGATTTGCATGCCAAGTCGAGATGGGAAGGGGGTTTGGATGGCTGGCTGGCTGGCTGGCTGACTGACTGACTTGGTGGTGCATGACGAGAGTCAATGGTGGCTCTGATCGATTTATGAACTGGTCGCCAGTTCATTGTTGTCATGACGTCACTTGGGCCTCCCAAAAGAAGCCCCCGCAGCCGAATAGCATTTCACATCGAAGTGGAAGCTCTTTACAAACATATAGGAATACAAAACCGAAATGCTTCAAAAAAATATATTCATTCATGGAGAGCAGCTAGGTCGGCCCACTCGTCAGTTAAAAGATTATTATTTTCAGTGTGTGTAGGCAAGAAAAACTAGAAAAACTTTGGGGTTTTGGAGTCTAGAGTCTGGAGGGGCATGCAGCCTGTGGCTTATCTAAACACTCTTAACCTTGCTCTTGAAATATCTGAAAAATTCAGTGTGTTTGGGTTTGGTATTGGGGTACTTTTACATTACATTTTGTAATAATTGTGTTTTCTTGTTTTCTGTTTATTGTTTTATAATATTGCGCTAAATAATATATATGTATATTCATATTTATATACTTCTCGTATAGATACTATTTTGTGGTTGTTTTTTAAACATATTTCGATAGCTTATGAAATAAATTGCTTTACGTTTTATGGTTTATGGTTTATGGTTATTCGAGTTGCACGTTTAACTAAATAATAAAATTTAACTAGGATTAAGTTAATGCAATGCTTTCTGTTTGACAGAAACACGATCGGTAACTAAACAGAGTAGTATGTAGATCCTTCTAAGTGAGGAGGCTTTGAGCTGCTCTGAATTTGGTATTTAAATTTAAATATACAATAAATATTAGTAGAGAGATAAAGTTGAGCAGCTCAAAGGTTGAGTAAAACTTCGCTAAATGTTGCGCTAAATTTTAATTTTAAGCTCGATTTTTTTGTCATGCAACATTCCGATTAGTAATGCCAAAGTAACTAAGGGCCAATCAAATCAAATAAACATAACTATAAGCTGGTAAGTACTAACATTATACGCTTATATTGTATATCTTTATGGGAGCACGCTCATCAAACACAGATACACGACACACTCACACACACACACACGATGCAGGATGCAGGAGGATAATGGCCGCCGGCGCACTCAACCCACTATTTGTATCTTTATTTGCTATTTGCTATCAACTTGTAAATATAAGTACTGCAAGCGCACACTTTAGACTCTTCGCAGGACATCCTCGGGGAAAAGTTTTCCCCTCTCCAGTATACAGTACGTACTGGCGCTTACTCTGTAATCGTTTCTCTTGTAAATATTATTGCACTTATTGCTTATTAAAAGGACTAACTAAAGCAGTCTCGGCTGTGTCTCGATGTCTCTCTAGTGTCTCTAGTGGTTCGGTAATCGGTAATCGGTATTCGATAGAATGGCACTGGGTTTAGAAGCTGCAGCTGCTGATGCTGATGCTGATGTGACAATTGATCTATTGCTATGGGAATTACTATATGTATAAATAGGCTTCAGGAGGAGCTGTAGCTGTAGCTTGTCTATGGCACAGTCGCCTTTAAATAAGAGTGTCTTGACTAGTATTAATGATTAATCAAAAAAATATAAAAAATAAAACACAAACACTTCGATAAACAAGAACAAAACGAGCGGCGAGATCGTATTGGCCATGGATCCGAAAATTCGATCGATCGAGCCATTTGCTGCACTTTGGATCTGCACTAAACATTAAAAAAAACTGCTGTTTCTAACTAAACTGGATCGGTTGGTGCCTACTTCCATATATGTCCTAAGAATTGAAGGTCTAATAAGATTTTACTTTTTAATTTTCGAGATAATGACGAAACTCGGTACCCGCACCAACCAATCTCCAGATATTGCCTAAAGGATCTCTCAAGGATAGCTCTCGAGGGTCATCCTAGCGCTGCGCATGCGTGTGCGACATATGCGAGTGCGTCGAGTGCGGCGGCGGCACGTGGGGCACGTGCGCATGGTGCGCATGTCCGCCGTAGGCCTGGGCATGGGACAGAGGCGACGCCTGGCCGCCACTGTAGCCGGACTGCATCAGGCTCTGTTCGAGGCTGTAGTGCGAGGGCGGTGCCGGCGGGTGTGCCAAATGAGCGTGCCCATGGTGACCGTAAATCAATTGTCTTACTTTGGAGTCCTCGTCGGCGATATTGTAGCTGAGCTCCGTCTCCTCGAAGCCCGTGGCCGACATCCGTTGATCCCCACCACCGACGCTCGGCGGATCCGGCGAATTGAGGCAGGTCTGGATGAGCTGCTTGCCCGCCTCGGAAGTGATCATCGGCTGGAGCTTGCGCGTGGCAAATGTGTAGACGTGGCCGGTCTCGCTGGCCACCAGGAGCATCACCTGCGTTCCGGTCAGTGTTGACAGCTCGTAGGCCTGAAAAGTGGACGGCGGGAGAGTAGAGTTAGTTACCGTGTTAAGTACTCGATGGTATCGGTTCTGGATATCGGGGCATTTGGATATTTAGTTGCAGGGGAAGGGGGAGAACTAGTTGCGACGGCCAGGAAACTGTCGAGGCGTGTGTGTTGCCCAAGCGGCACATAAATTTCCCCACCAAACTATGCGATTATGTTGCAGCGATAAGATGGCCTCTGTGCCTCGTGTGCCTCTTTTAAAAATTACCAGAGATGGCAGCGTGATTTCGATTTCTTAAATAAAAACTAAATAAAATATAAACTAAGTTGTAAAAACAATTATATTTAAGACTTTTGTAATAAAACCATAACCATGGTCTTGGAGAAATCAAGAAGTCAGCACCATCGCCAGCACCATCACACCCACGCAATTGGCCCAGAAGTCACGCAAGCATCGCGATGGTGTGCTCCCAGCTCCATGATAACAACACCGCCTCCTCGTGCCATGGAGCGAGTGCTCAGTTTCGGTTTCTCCACATTAGACGGTAGCCTAAGCTGCCTATCAACAGCTCGTAATTACTATAAAAGCGATAAAGTCGCTGTCTGGCTGTCGGCCAACATTGGCTGCTACTTTGGAGTCAAAAGAACACAGCGCATAAATAACCACTGCTACTGCCCCCGGTGGTGGTGGTAGTGCTGGTAGTGGTGTACCAGGGCAACATTTATTAATATTAATGAAATTGTTGTACACATTGTTGGATGTGTACGAGTCTGGATTGGGGATTGGGATTGGGATCGCATCGGATCGGATTGGTTTTGGGGTAGAGGTGAAGAGGTATGGCCCCCATCCAAGCATACATCGACATCGATTGGCTGCCAATTTTATGTGTAACATGTGTAAATGCAAACAATTGACACGGTCTCCGAATGCGGAATCTGAATTCCATTTCAGAATCAGAATCGGTTTCTGAATCGGAATCTGAGTAGGTGTCGATTGTCCCTGGACCATAAGCCTAGGCTCTGCGATCCACAAAACAGGCCAACAATTCATGTCAATTTGAATTTCGAACAAAGACAAAAGGACACGACGACACGCGGCAGAGGCTGGAGAGGATTGGCTTGGCTTGGCTTGGGCTGGACCCCAGTACGTAAGCGTTGACAGGACAAGAGGCAGGAAAGGTAGCCCCAGAGACCGACCGAAAGGCCAGATGGAGAGTCATTTGTTAGAAGCCGATTGTTGCCTGTTTCTCGACTGGGGTTGCATGTGGCCAAAAGGCAAGCCGACGAAGGCCAGCCATGGCGGAGCCTCTTGGCCTGGACTTATCTGGGCACAATCTGCCGCGAGTATCAATACGCTTCCGTGCCTGGTTGTATGGTTGTATGGTGCTCCTGGTCCTGGTCCTGCTCCTGCTCCCCCCCTGAAAACAATTCCCAGCGAGCTTCAGAGCGCTGCCTCGTGATTTCAATTTAACACCTTTTGGCGGCATTTTGCGCCTGTGTTTGCCCTTTTGGCCATCGCCAATTGTTGGTAACTGGCTGGGAACCTTCCACCCGCCCCCGGCCTCGCCCCTTCTGCATTGCATTACAATATGCAGAAGCGCTTTCGCTTCCAGCTGGATCGATGGGCCCACGCAGTTTGGGGCCAGCAAATGAGATCACTTCTGGACATTAGCTCACTTTTCACTTTTGTGACCTTTTTTGGACTCCAACCGACCAACCGACCGACTGTCCACCCGCCCACCCACGCATTCCACACACCGATCCATTGGCCAGATCGAAATGACCAAAATTGGCCAGTGGAAAGCACGCGAACAGGTTGTCGCTGGCCCGTCTGTGGGCCAAGTTCAATGGCCGCAATTTGTTGGTAGGGATTTCGGATTGCAGATTTCAGATTTCAGATCTGGAAGATGGAAGCTGATGGAACCTGGTAGCTGGTAGCTGGAAGCTGGAAGCGCCAACTTGCAATCCCATTGTCTGCCTGTCAAGTGTCTGGATCTCTGGACATTGGACAGCGATGAGGGACCGCATCAAAGTCACCAAATCGATATTATTCCAGAAATACAACAAAAAATCGAGGCATGTCTCGGGCGTGCGCCTGTCATAAGTCCAGAAATCAGGAGGAGCCTACATCCCAGGGGTCAGATATTATTACCAAAAAAATCAAAAAAAAACAAGGATACATGGTAAGGGCATTTTGAAAAAAAAAAAAACACAAGCTACCAGCTAACATTTTTTTGGCCTGCTTGGGTCAAATATTTCATAAGATTTTGTGACTCTGGCAAAGATCGTGCTGAGATCGTGATTTAGCGCCGCGGTGTTGATGCTTTTTTCTCTGATTTCGATCGGGTGTTTTGGTGGTTTGGCTCTCTGGAACACCATGTCCAAGAGAAGTCTATTTAAAAAATGTGAAAAATTTCATATGCAACTAGGAGGTTGCTCCTCCATTATGTAAGTTTGCGTGTGAAAATTGGTCATTTGAAAATGCCAAAGACCACATCGAATGAGGGTATGTATATCCTCCTGCCCCTGCACGCACCCACTTTGGTTGGGGGTGAGGCTTAGCTGGGCCGGTGGGTTAGGGCCTCCTTTTGAATGCAATTGCGGCGGCAAATTAACATTTTATGAAGCCGAAAACAAAGGGAAATGCGGAATCGTGGGCTACCGCGGTTACCCAACGCCGCCAAAGGAGTCACAGTTGCGAGGATCTTTTGGGCTACTGTTCTGGAGCTCCACAGCCAAGTACAGTGGGTTAGGGATTTAAGGAACTAAGAACCTCTCTTCTCAACTTATAAAACAAAAGAAAGTGAGTCATAAAAGTTCCCTTTTAGATAAAAATTTAGTTTCTTGTTTTCGAAATGATTCATTTTTTTAGGGTATTTCTAATCAGACTTTTAAGCTTTAAAATATTTTAAAAATAAATTAAGAATTTCAACCACTGTACCGATGGTCACATGACGATAAACCACCGCCCCGGCTTTGGAGACGGAGAGAAAGAGTCAGAACAATGCCAGCTTTGGAGCTTTTGGACTGGGAATGCGACTCCTCGAAGCATTTATTAATTGCACATGCGCTCGAAACGTGGCCCAATGTCGACATCCCAATTCCGTACCCAATCGAAGAGATGGAGGAGGTGGAGGTGGAGGAGATACCATGCCGATCTTACCTTCTTCATGATGCCCGTTTTGCGCTTGGAGAAGGTCGTGTAGCGACGCAGCTTGTTGTCGATATATTCCATTTTGATTTTGACACGTCCCTTTGTCTTCTTGCCGTTGGCGGGTGGAGATTTTTTGTTTGGCAGCGGATTGTAGCCATCCACGTTATCGTCCACGCCGGCGCTGGTGACGCTACCGGCGGCGCCGCAGTTGTCCAGGCCCTGGAGCGTGAGTCCACCACCGGCTGACCGATGGTGATCCTCATAGCAGTCGCTTCCAGATCGCTTCAGGCCACGCTGTTGCTGCTGCTGTTGCTGTTGGTGTTGCTGCTGCTGTTGCTGCTGCTGCTGCTGCTGGGAGGCATGCTGCGGGCTGTGATGGGAGGTCTGACTGTTGCCCAGGGTCTGGCATTGGCCAGTGGGTGCACCGCCACCTCCGGCACCGGGACGCTGCATCGACGGGCCGCCCATGTTCTGGAGTAGGCCGCCGGAGGGCGGACGGGCACCCAGGGCGGCCACCGCCGGATTGCCGTACATGTCCGCCTGATCGGCGAGACTGAGACCTATACTACTCATCGAGTAGTTGAGGTTGTAGCGCGAGTCGCCCCGCGTCGGATCCATTCTGAGGTAATAGTTCTCCACCGTGGAGCCGTAGAAATCCAAGGCACCGCGCGCGTCTATTATTGCTACCTTGCCTAGCAATCCGAAATCAGAAATCCGGCCGCGGCACACTTTGCCAGCCGCCTAGCGCCCGTATTTGATTCTTAATTCCAAAAATAACACACAAAACACACACCGCGCGCACACAACGCGATACTTCTGATACTCTGCTGCTGGCTGATGGCTTCTGGCCGTTTGCTGCGCCGCCGCTGCTGCTGCGTTGCCGTTTGCCTGGGGGCTACTGCCGCCGCTGCCTGCAGGCCTGTTCCTTGTTTTTGCAGTGTTTTGGCCCGTTTTATCAAAATTATTAACAATTTCGGAGGGCGAAACGCGATTTTTTTGGCTGCAACGCCGCGATTTTGCAACACGCACGCACACACAAACACAAACACTTGGCCACTTGGGGCAAAAATTGACAGCTGACAGCCCGAAACCAGGGATGCAGCAAAAAAAGTTCAGAAAGTGTTGCAAAAGCTCAGCGGTTGGGCGGCAAATTTGAATGTTTCCTTAAAGTGTTAGTCCTTTGTTTTTGGAGTTTTATTTGAAGTTCTTGATCCTTTTGTGTGTTACTGTGTTTTGTCTTATATTTGCTCCTTTGGATTATACTTTAGAGTAGTATCGTTTTTTTTTTGCTCCTTCGTAAGTTTTCGGTTTCGATTTTGATTCAAGTTGGATTCAAGCCTTTTTAGTTTGTTGGTAACGGTTATCGCTTGTTTTGTTTAGTTATTGACAAAAATTGATTTGATTCATCTGTATCGGCTGGATTTAGGCGACTTATTTGTCACTGTGGCACTTGTTTGGACCGTTTACTTTATTTGTGGCGATTTTATTGTTGTTCATTCCAAATACGAATATCGGATCGAGGCGGCGAACGGTCGAGAGCTAAACTTGCGATCGAATGATGGCGTTGTGCTTCAGATGGCGTGCAAATAAAAAATAATACGTATACGCCGCTCGTTCCAAACTTGGCCCAAACCACGCTGCTCACCCTAGGCCCGATCGGTCATTTACAATTTACCGAAGATTGCCGAAGCTGAACGAAGTGCATGGTGACTCTCTTCCACCCAGAAGACTCGTCTACATCTTGCTCTCTCTTCGATCGGCCCAAAGAGTACCATTTTGTATATAAGGTTTTTTGTTTTGTTAGCTTTTTTTTCTGGTGCCGTCTTTCATTTTGCAGAGGCGGCTATGTTTATGGCTTAATTAATTAGATATGTCACGGATACAGAACGGGTGTGTGTGTGTGTGTGTGTGGAGAGTATCTCGTGCCACGCCCCCATATGCATACTCATTCGTTCGCTGCGCAAGCGCATAGATTATCGGTGAAAACTTCAACCTCTTAGGCTCCGCCCCCTGAAAAGTTCGTGATTGAGTTTTGTAATTACATTAAACGCCATTTTAGAGCCTTCATAAGACCCATCGTCCGCTTATCAGACCGTCTGATTAACTTAATTTGTTATTTGGTATTTTTTATTTTGTAATTTCTTACTCTTTTCCCGAGGCATTCGCTCCGTTGTCTTTATTTTTTTAAACATTCAGTCCCCGATGACAACAAAAAGCGATACACTTAAACTATGCCAGGAATTTTTCTGAGCCGGCCAATATGGTCAGAATGCTCTAGAGGATTTGCGTGGTGGGCCCACTTGTACACAGGAGCACGAGTATTTCGCCATGTCCTTAAATAGAGGTTCGCAAGAAAATTCTGCCAAGTGCCGGGAGGCTGTGGCAAAAGGGGTGGTGGAGTGTCCACTGGCCAATGGCCACTGTCCTCTGGCCACGTGCAGTGACTAACAGATAGCCGGAGAGATATGGCCTCTAGCTGGATGAGTACATTTCGATACATCGATACACTCACCCGGGGGCTCCATCCCCCGACTCCATCGGATGATGCATTCCACGCTGCGACTTTTCCTCCAGCTGGAAATGGTCATCGTTGCCTTTTCCAGCCAGCAACCAGCCAGGCCTTGTCGCCAGCTTGTCTCTTCCGCGAATAGGCCAGCTCAGAGCCTGGATCTGGGTCCGATTCCAGGACCAAAGACCAGAGACTAGAGACCACAACATCAAACTCCAGATGATGAGATGATGTCCGATGTCCAAGTCGAAGATGATGTCGTACCGCCGTCACCGCCACCACCACCGCTGCCGCGCATTTAATTAGAATGAAATATAGGAACTCTGGACGCGGATCGGATCGAATCCAATCGAATCGCATGGCATCGTTTTGGATCTTGGAGCTCCTCCTCGATGGTTTGTCTACCTGCCTGGGCTGCCTAATGATTTAAATTAATCATAATGACTGTCAAAATAGAACGTTTGCCGCTGGCCTCGTCTCATATAAGGATCGATACACGCAGCGAGCACCCGGTCATATGCCTTCAAAAAGCACTGAGAGAACATTTTAGAATTAATTTATTTAAATTTTATAGAGGGGCTTAGATGCCTTAAGGTTTCAGAAGGATGGCAATCTAGTTTTCTATACCTATTAATATTATGAATAAAAATACTTTAAGGATACTTGTAATGAGATAAAGACGTTTTAAGATTTGTCTCTGTTGTACCTCTGTTTTGAAGGATATTCTGGTCTATGATTTAGAAGACTAAGGAATCATATAAGTATATACATTTAAGTATAAGTGTTTTAAATGATTTGTATTTCAATAGTTTTAAACACATTAAACTTTTGATAAAAAAAGAATAGTACCCTAATATCTAATGATATCATTTTTAAAATAGTTTTTCCATTACCAAAAGTAAAGATAGTTTCAAGAAACATGTTATTCTATTAAAATTTTTCTATGACATTTTATAGAATCTGATTCCATTTCTCCAAGTGCTCATGGCTTCAACTCGTGGTCCTGATGACATTTCATCATACTCACACGGCCTGATACTGGTGCTGTGCTTTTGGCCTGGTCTAAGGTTCTCACAATTGTAGACGCGTTCTGTGCAGCGCTTACTAATTGGTTAGTTGGCTGCAGGCTGCAAGCTGCAACCTGGAGGCTGAAGTCTTCTGCCCCCTCGCTTTTCACCCCCTTTCTCCGACTCTTTCGCTGGCTCCAGAGCGGCTGTCTTTCTAGGCGAACGTCAGATTGTCTGGGCCTTGGCTCAGCTGGGAACAGCAGCATCGGCAACATGTTGCTGTATTTTCTTCTGTTTTCTTTTTTTACCATTGAATTTTCCATGGAATTTTGCTGCCACTGAACATTTCTAATACTTAATTATTTGCGAGCGTTGGCTTTTCGATCTACGTGCTTTTATTTCAGCTATTAGGAGATGGTTAAGGTAGTCTGTATTATGCAATCCTCTTAACCAATAACCGAGTTCACCTTCAACAAAAAAAATAGATAAAATAAAAACAGAGATCATCTGGGTATTTAAAATATTCTTGCATATTCCCGAAAATATATTTTTAACTCTGAAAAAAGTTTGTTCCATTTACGATTTCGAACAAAATTTTTGATTTGCCGTTTTAGCTTGGCCCATGCAGGCACAAATATATACCCGAGTATTATATATAGACGTGTTTTTTTACTATTTATAGAGTTTCTTGAGCATTTGCCATAAGCCAAAGCCAAAGTGTTTTAAATAGTCTAAATATGTAAATTTGGTTTTCTCTTTTTTTAGTGGACTAAGTCACTCGTGGACTTGGGAGCGTGAAGTGGCAAGGCATTCGATATCGTAATAGACTGTTAAAAAATTATCTGGCTATGCATTATAGAAAAATAGCAAAAACTCGAACTAGTAATGCACACTGCCATATAGAGATGAGATTCAAGATCAGAGAGCTCTCAAGGCGAAATGAATATCTGATTGAATGCAACAACGTGGCACACGGGGCACAGGCATCACCAAAAACTCAGGTGTCTAATTGGGCGCTGGGGTGACAATGAACCACTTAACCGCGGACTAAGCCCAAGCCGCAGATTGACAATGCCGGGGAAGAAAACCGCCAACGCCAATGGCCAACAGCCAGAAGCCAGAAGCCAACGGGCATCGGGCCATCGGTAACCAAGTAACCAAGTCAAAGTCTGGGGCCGAACCAATTGGCAATTGGTACAGGCGATCGCAATGTTACTTGCCTCATGAATAACTCATAAGGATGGGACTTGGACCCCGGGATCTCTGAATCGAAATCGGTTTCGGGATCGAGTCTGTTTTTTTCGGGGTTCTTGAGGCAATCGACTTGGGGCACAGCCTTTTGTTACAATTTAAATAAAATTGCGGCCCTGGCGAGACAACAAACAAACAAAAAGAAAATCAGACATTACCCCACTCTTGGGGGTTTCGTTGGCTGGCCACTGGGTTTCAGGCCAGAAGTACCGTACCACTGTACCGTCTGGTCATCCGTCCGGTTACAGGAAACAAAAGCACCGCTACAATCATAAAACGATTAACAGGTCGTGACCATTTCACCTGATTACCGACGACCATCTCATTTGCATGCAGCCCGTCGATTCCTTGGCACTGTGACAAGTGCAGGCGTCGACGGAAGTTCAGGCCCAAAGCCAAAGCTGAAGCCTAAAGCCAACTCCCTCCTACTCCCATCCACCCAGCCCGTCTTCTTCCGCCCGTCCTGGCCAACTTCCTCCAGCCCGCCAGCATTTTAAATCACACACAATATTTAATTATGAAAATAAAGAAGCAAGTCAGAGATTGTTGCGTGCTTTGCATGATAGTTGGCCATTTGACTCGGTGACTTTTTGCCGTCGGTTGACGTCAGTTAGTTAGTTGAGGGAAAAGACTGGCTTGGGACCTCTACAAATTAGAACAGAATTATCCCACGCATCTCGGATAATGTACGCGAAATACTTGATCGATTGCCAGCGATCTATAGTCTGTTGTGGCTGCTGTTGCACTCCAGTAGCAGCAACAACGATGTCAGACAACGAGGATCGTTGCAGACAGTCGCGAAATCATCAGAAACAGCAGCTTGGGATCGTTCGTCGATGGCACAACAAATTTCAGCGCGTAGAACGGTAACTTATTTTTTTCCATCCCGCTAACTAAGGGGTATCAAGGGTAGTCTGGACCTTAAGAAAGAGATACAACTTTTATAGTAAACACAGATAACTACATATTAGACAACTCCTCCCAGAGTTGGTTGGAGAGTAGTTCAAGATCTTTAGCCTACTAAGTAACCCCCATTCGATTAGCTCTCAGACTTAAGACTTGGATCCACTTATTGTCAAGCTGATCTGAAGACCAAGGAGCGGGGTCTAAGGAGGTCCAATCGAAGAGGTCTGAGGTTGGAGGAGGCTCACACAGCGATGTCTCCAGCCTGGCTGTGATAAAATGTGCGTAAGTGATCAGTTGGAAGACAACGACTCAGAATCGGACTTGGACTTGGTCTTGGTCTTGGTCTGCTACAGAGATTCAGAGTCTGGCTACTCGGATCTTGAGTCGTTCTGTTGCGTTGGGGTTAAAATTCCTGGACTTCTTGGATTCTTCGTTTTTTTCGTATTTGTACTTTTTTTTCTGTGCTGTTGCTTTCAACTCTCTCGGCACTCGGTAGCATTTTAAAATTACAAGTATGTAATTTTACTGAAATCAAGCGCTCATATGAAAATTCCACCGGCGAAGCTGTCGATCGATCGATCTGGCGGGCAATTGTGGAGCATTTTTAATTTGTGCTGTGCACTTTTGCCTGGAAATCAGAGCAGGCCAGTGGTAATGGGATGGCGAGGTGGCGATGAGTACTGGGGCGGTGGTGCCGGTGGTGGAATCTCGGGGAAGAGTGTGCAATGTGGCCTGGGACTGTCCGGCGACCTTATCGCGCCCACTGTGCACAAATGCACACACAAAATGTCAATTCTGCGCACGTCGCTCCACCAGGCATCCCAATCAGTCGTGCCCGGGCCACTCTATGGCGTTTCCCCTGCTCCCCCTCATCCTTGATAGTGCCAGGTGGGGGAGGAGGGATGGTAAATGCAGCTCCTGGTCTTG